TTTTTGCTTGATGTCTTTTAATTTACTGATGTTTTGGTGATTTTAAGTGTCACAATTCATTTCGTCTTCATGCAGTTAGCAAACCAACTCCCATTCAAGACTGCATTAGACTTCAGTGGTTTAAATATTTATTTATTATATAAAGCCATAAAGTCAAGAGGTAAAATAGCAATAGAATAGTAAATTAAGATATAAAAACTGACATAAGTGCAGACTTAGAATTATCACAATTTTTAGCATACTAAAATGTGATCTCTTTTTATATACAGTACATCTGTTCCTATCTCAATAGCAAATAAAGTATAAATGTATTTACAAACCATAAAGGTGAAAGAATCTCAGAGAAAATATAAAGGAGTACAAAATCCAACGGCGGTGAAGAATATTAGGAGAGTAGAATACGCAAAACGTATATAATAGTTCTGCCATTTCAACAGTTGATGTAAAAGCAAAACGCGCTCCTGTTTAGTTGTTTCATTTGCGTAAAACGTACACCGTGTTCTAACCAGTCACAAAATAACAAGTTTCAGGAGCGATGTTCTCGACACTACATGTGACTAAATTGTGCCAAATAGCAACATATTTGATGATGTTTAATGTGCAGCCAGATTTTGGACCAATGAGATTTCATTGTGGGCGGGGCTTCCCACCACAATGCTGCACCAACCAAGTGACCGACAAAATATTCTGTGGCTGGTTAGGACAAACACATTAACGTGGGAAGAGCCTTTGTCGCTTTATTGCAACATGCCTACTTAGGATATGTTGTTAGCAAGAGAAAAGCAGTACCAAAATAACAGGAAGGAGAGAGTAGAAGGTACAGTGCTAGTTGTTCTTAACGAGAGTCTTTTTAAGGCGAGGAACGAGGAAAACGGTGCCGTCCGCAGTGTGCTGAAGGGAGTATTCGTTGGGCGAGAAAGGCTTGCCGTGCTCGTCTCGAAGCATACCGAAGACCTCATGGTACAAGGTACTCAACTGCTGCTTCATCTCTCTCAGACTGGTGCTACGTTGGCTCTTCTCCTTCACTAAACGCTCCTTCTCCTCTTTCAGCGAGTCCAGCTCGTACTCCAGGCCCACAATGTTCTCCAGCTTCCGCTTGCGGCAGTTCTGCGCAGCAACCTTGTTCTTGCCCCGACGGCGGATGTCTCTGACGAGGGCCAATTACTTTTACACTTTCTTTATGAACATTTTAGAAGTCTCAAAGTTATAGTGGAATGGACTTTCAATGGAGAGACAGAAATCTCAGTTTTCATTAAAATATCTTTATATGTGTTTCAAAGATGAGCAAGTTTTATGGGTTTGGACTGACATGAGGGTGAGTAAACTGTGACAGAATTTTCATTTTGGAGTGAATTATCCCAAAATAGGTGCTATGTTAAGGTGTTTATAAGGTGTTGAAAAGTGTTTGTAAAGCTGGTGGCATTTTATCTGGCCAGGGTCCATAACGTACACTAGCCAAGCACCAAATGTAAGTATAAATTGGCTTGGGTGTGTAAATAAACATGTTCTGTTGGCTGAAATCTTTATTGGGAAACTGACTTGCTATTCAAAGACGTACCAACGATCTGCTAAAAAAAAACTTGTTCGTCTTCTAACAACTTTTACCTCTGTAAAAACTTGCCATCAGAAGTTTGTCTAGGATGACTGAATGACTGCAAAACACTGAATCTTTTTTTTTCAGCAGAGAAAATATTAGAAACATTTTTTATATATATTTGTAATATTAAATGTTTTTTAAATATGTGAGATACATTTTTTAAAATAATTTGTATATAAAATAAAATATAAAAAATGTATGTGTATATATATCATATTTTTATAATTATATTATTTATCAAATATTTTATTTAAAAAAATGTTGCCAGCAAAAAATATTTATGGCATTTCCAGGACTGGCAATAAGTTCATTTTGCACCCTGCTCTGATTATAGGGTGTTAATGAGGTCTGGTTGAGGGTTCATACCTGCAGCTCTGGGAGTGAGAGCAACTCCATCCAGGCTTGATCCAGAGAGCCTGGCAGCAAAGGATTGTGGGTAAAGGCTGGAATGTCTGGGGGCATCATAAGATCTGTGGAAAGAGGAACGGATGCGTCCAGGCAAGGCGGCGCTGACTGCACAGAAAACAGAGAAGAGAGATAATTAGACTGAAGTGCAGTGACATGTATAGGTGTTATGTTGCCATGAGGTGTGAGGTGTTACATGGCTGATAAATATCCCGTAATTACCTCAGCTGCCTCATCTAGTGGAAACGTCTCCGCCAGGAGCTGCATGCACTCATCAAATGACATGGCATCACCGTCCTGTTCTGCGAAAACGCCATTCTGCACGTACACAGTTAAATACACCTTAATAAACCCAGTGCATCGACACACAGAGCAGGAAACATACATGTAAATTTAGATTCTATGACTGGACTGACTTGACGGAGTTAGTTATCAAAACAACCTTTAAGGTAAAATTGTATGATTTCATGTACTGATTTGAAAGGGACTGGGATTTCTGTAGTTACTACTAAAGTGGAAGTGTTTGTGTAGATGTGGTTGTGCTTTGGATTTTTAATTTCCGTAAATTTAATTAAGTGTGCTCTGGATGCTAAATTAATCATTTTATCATTGCTAATTTAACTAATTTTATTTATTAATGGAATTAACATGAGTCTCAATCTATGCATAGACTTGCCAAAGTATGCAAAACGTCATAGATTTGGAATGTGATCTCAAACATTTCTCATCATTCTCATTCTTCTAGCATCAAATGATCTGAGCTATGCCATCATTGCCATCATATAAAACTCATCCTTGGCTGGAATCTATATATTTGAAACTGTAACACAATATTTGCTTTAAATTGGAACATAAAAGCGTTCATTTAGTGACTTGCTATTCAAAAACGTACCAAATATCTATTAATCTCATTTATAATAAATAAATAAAAACATTTGGACTTGTGCATCTTCTAACAATTTTTACCTCAATGGAAAATTTACAATCACAAGTTTAGGATGCCTAAAGTATTGTATTGTAGTGTAGTGTATTTTGTTTTATTTTATTTTTACCAGAGTTCCACCAGATGTAATTCAATTAAATTCAATTAAATAATTAATAGTTTTCTTAATGCTATTTCAACTATATTTATTAATCAGGGCTCCAGAGTCATTGGCTCCTATAAGAAACTAAATTAGGTGCCTAATTATTTTTTTAACTGCCACAGAATAAACATGTTTTTTGTTGTAGTTTTTTTACAGTTTAACATTTCAGTCATACTGTCATCTGTTTATGTCTCATCTTTTCTTTATCAGCATTTTAATCCATCTTGTAGATGTCCTGGGAACTAAGGTTCACTTAAAGTGGGAACTAAATGTCTTCAGAACTATATACAATCACAAAGAATTGTTTATTGCACAGAATCTGTACCAATGTCACGGACCATTATTATTTCAGCATCATTTGGCCCTTGAGTGTAGTTTGGGCTCCTCCTCAATGCATCCTATAAATGTTGTCAAATGCATGCACACATCCAGTTTTTTTTTTCATTAGTAGCATGCAATTATAGGAGGTGTTGAATTTTATCTTTAGCTCCTTGCATTCTTTCTTATCATGTAGACAACAGGTTAAGTAAAAATATGAATAGTTATTTTTCTAGCTGACTAATGAGCTTCTGGACGCCGAATGGTTATTCTGTGGTAAATGTATTTACGTGTAATCACTGAATGAGTGATTACATGAGACATTTCAGTAAGCTGTACTGTATCTTATAATATACCTTTGATGTTCATTCATGTTTATTTCGTACAATAGTAGTAAAGAGAAAGATATGATGGGTTCACGTGCTCATGCCGCATTAAAGAGCGGCAAAACGGCATTTATTGTTTTTAATTTTGTTTATTAAAAGGTAACAGAGCGCAAGGCTTATTGCGATTATTTTATGGCAAGTGCACTACAAATAATAATACATTCATGCATTAACAGAACAGCATATAGACTAAACGATATTGTTAACATCCACACAGCTGACAGCTTTACCTGTTGTTGTTTGTTCAAGTTGTGCACGAAACAGACCCTGCTTTACTGCACTTTGACTTCGCACGTCTCCATCATTTTGGATCTCTCTCATGCTGCACAGCTGGAGCTGCTTTCAGCAGAGATGAGGACTGTTTTTCCTCAAAAACTTTGATGCGCATCGTCTCGGTTTATTACGTCAACATAAACAAATGACGTGGTCGCAAAACAATCAGGAAAAAGGGCATTACATGCAAGTTTTTAAGTCATAACATTTTATATAGTCGCCAGTGCTAACCTCAGCTAAAACTTCGCTCGCAAACTGCACAGCTGGAGCTGCTTTCAGCAGAGATGAGGACTGTTTTTCCTCAAAAACTTTGATGCGCATCGTCTCGGTTTATTACGTCAACATAAACAAATGACGTGGTCGCAAAACAATCAGGAAAAAGGGCATTACATGCAAGTTTTTAAGTCATAACATTTTATATAGTCGCCAGTGCTGACCTCAGCTAAAACTTCGCTTGCAAATTAAAGGGGTCATATGATGCGATTTAAATTTTTTCTTTCTCTTTGAAGTGTTACAAGCTCTTGGTGCATAAAGAAGATCTGTAAAGTTGCAAAGACTAAAGTCTCAAATCCAAAGAGATATTCCTTATAAAAGATAAGAGTCAGCCACGCCACCCTAAAACGCCTCGTTCTAACACGCCCCCACATGTCAACCTCACTATGTGGGAAGATTTGCATAACGCCGCCCAAATGTTCACGCAAAGAAAGAAGGCATAACTTTTATTCTCGCTGTAGTATTGTTGTTGCCGCTGCCATGTCGTGAAGGCACTGTGTGTTTCGTTGTGAAAGTGAAACTACTTTGTTTGGCCTTCCAAAAGAGGACGATATCTGCTTCGTCATGCCTGGAGCTGATCCGTGCTGGTTGCTGAGGAAATACATAAACTTTGCGCTGTCGATCGCCGGATCGGCTTTTACCGTGGACGAAGCGGAGTCCAGTCTGGGTGTGGAAAATAATGTTTTTTTTTAACCTTAAACCGCATAAACACATTGCATTACACTAAATACACAAAATACTGTTTTTTTTAGCAACATCATATGTCCCCTTTAATATTTTTGGTCGCAAATGCAACCATTAATGGAATATTTATAACATTAATTATTTATTACATTTGAGATGAGATTTCAGCTGTCTCAAACTATGCTCAGACTTGCCAAGAAACCAAAGTGTGCGATCAAAAGTCATCAATTTTGATGTGATCTCAAACATTTCTCATCATTCTCATGCTGCTAGGATCCAAACAAAGATCTGAGCTATGCCCTCATTTTGTAGCTATAAACTCTTATGTCTCATATATTAGTTTCTCTCAGGAGCTTTAAGAGTAACATCTGAGACGAACTCAGAGTTAGCAGAATAAAAGTAGGCAATTAGGTCCAAAGTTAAGAAAAAACTCAAGTGCGTTCACTTTGTACAGGACGAAAATCACACAGTACATCTGCGAAACACAAATTTACCTAACCTCCTCAGGGGAAACAAGCTCTTTAGTGTCCTATCAATGTCATACTAGGATTGTTTGTGAGTTTATTTGCTTTCCACTTCGCCGAACTGCACTTACGATAAAGCCTTACCACCTGAGTTCCAGTAATTATGCCATAGTGGCGGTTACCAAGCAACTAAGCAGCTGCACCCTGTAATATGAGGGGAGGGTGAGGCCTGTTGAGCTCCTCTGTGTGTGTGTGTGTGTTTGTGTGATCTCACATCTGCTCTCCTCTTGCCCTGGCGTCGATGTGTACATGCACACCTCTCTTCCTGTGACTGCATGGCGTACCTGTGTGACTGCGGCATTTGTCGTGTTGGTCTGCGTCAGCGGGGCGCTTCGAGGCACAAACTCTCCGGTCTCCTCGTCCAGCTGGAGTTGGGCGAGTAAAGCTTTCTCCTGCTCCCGCAAACGCTGCTGCTGCTTCTTCTCTTCCTCCTCACGCTGCCGAAGCAACTCCACTTCCTTCTGTCTGTAGCTGAAATCAAACACTTCCCTCCCCGCACCCAGATCCACGTCCTGCCTCCACAGGATATCTATCAGATCCATATCCTAGAGAGAAACAGCAGAGATAGATGAAGATGAGAGGAGAGCTGACCTCCTCCTGACCACACCCCGCCTGTCTGGGAGGGATTATGAGCCCAGCAGCTCAGCATGCCTCAGATAAGCACACGCACAATACAAGACAGCGTGAATAATACATGCTGCTTCTCCTTTTTCGTTCCTTCTCTGGGAACCACAATTCACCCACCCACGCGGATACAAATGCATGCACACGCTGTAAAATGTGTTTAGAAATAAAACCTGGTGACCAGTTAGAGCACCTAAAATATAAATTTTTCCTAAACTCTTGTTGCTTCAAACAGACATTGGTGTTCACGTTATATACGACATCAAATACCATTTATATTATGTTAAACTATGTATATAGCTCTGGTCTGGTTAGTGTCCTGCAGAGATCTGGAGGAGAGTACAGCGGCTCTGACCAATCAGCAGCTGAGAATGAAACGCCACCCGCCATGCTGTTTTAACTACAGAGATCAGGGTGTTTGTCAAATACAAGGACAGAGAACAATATATAGTTTGCGTCCTTGTCTCTGGCATGTTGACGTGCCCTTGGTAGACCACCAGAAATAATAAGAAGCATATTTAGATGCGCACATCCAGCAAGATACATTAGGCTGGCCTTTTTCTTTAAGGTTTCTATTATGTAACAAAGTATTTGCTACTCTTTTTTTTGTTTTTATTTACTGTACTTAGATACATTTTTAGAACAATTTTTTTTTAACTTTTACTTCACTATTTATTTGACTTTTTACTTTCATTCCAAAGCATAATATCATAGTTTTTACTCTACAATACTTCAAAATATATTGTTCTTTGTTTGATATTTTAGTACAATGGCGATTCATGTTTTTATAGTTGTACGGCAAGTTTTAGTAATACTGTTTTTTTTTTCTTATTTGCAGATGAAAAAAAATACTCAATGTCTCCATGCACTAATTTTCCTAAACGACTAGCTAGATAAAATAATAAAAATGCTTCATTGATACGAAGTTTTTTTTACTTTTTAATACTTGAGGACATTAAAAATCAAGTACTTTTACTCAAGTAAAATTAACAAGCAGTACTTATACTTTTACTGTAGTACTGTTTGATTGGGATTAATTAAGCATTAGCGTTAGTTCTGGCAGGTCACGTGAGTCAAGCTTGCATCCGCTGATTCTCAGCTGATCACATCTACCTATAGGAATACGACACCTATCGCGGCATTCCTATATAAGCTCTATTCAGTATTATTCAGCAGCTTTTCAGCTTGCTCCGGAGCAAATTACCCTCCTCCATCCCCAGCTCCTCCTTTCGCCACAGTCAGGACTTGACTTTCTGATATTCCTTGCTAATCAGACTCCTTTGTCTTGAATAAAGTGTTACACTTAAATATAATTAAGTACATTAATGATATCTGCCTTGTTCTGTTCTGTTAACCCTGGGGGGGTTATTATTGCTGCTCTCCCTGCTCATTCATGACAGGCTGCATGGATGGGCAGGGAGTTTTTTGCCCAGAACAGAACCATACCGCCAAACTTTATGCTAAGTATCTATCATTTTGACGATAGTGGTCCTGACAGAATTAAAATGTTTTGTTTCAATTGTTCAAAAGGGCCTTTTTTCAGCTAATGACTAACTAGTTCAGTGATGAGTCCACCGCTTCTGATGCAATACTGAAATTTCCAGGCATGTAAAAAGAGGTTACGAAAGCACTGGTGTGTTTTTATTGTATCTTGTTGCTTCAAACAGACATTGGTGTTCACGTTATATACGACATCAAATACCATTTATATTATGTTAAACTATGTATATAGCTCTGGTCTGGTTAGTGTCCTGCAGAGATCTGGAGGAGAGTACAGCGGCTCTGACCAATCAGCAGCTGAGAATGAAACGCCACCCGCCATGCTGTTTTAACTACAGAGATCAGGGTGTTTGTCAAATACAAGGACAGAGAACAATATATAGTTTGCGTCCTTGTCTCTGGCATGTTGACGTGCCCTTGGTAGACCACCAGAAATAATAAGAAGCATATTTAGATGCGCACATCCAGCAAGATACATTAGGCTGGCCTTTTTCTTTAAGGTTTCTATTATGTAACAAAGTATTTGCTACTCTTTTTTTTGTTTTTATTTACTGTACTTAGATACATTTTTAGAACAATTTTTTTTTTACTTTTACTTCACTATTTATTTGACTTTTTACTTTCATTCCAAAGCATAATATCATAGTTTTTACTCTACAATACTTCAAAATATATTGTTCTTTGTTTGATATTTTAGTACAATGGCGATTCATGTTTTTATAGTTGTACGGCAAGTTTTAGTAATACTGTTTTTTTTTTCTTATTTGCAGATGAAAAAAAATACTCAATGTCTCCATGCACTAATTTTCCTAAACGACTAGCTAGATAAAATAATAAAAATGCTTCATTGATACAAAGTTTTTTTTACTTTTTAATACTTGAGGACATTAAAAATCAAGTACTTTTACTCAAGTAAAATTAACAAGCAGTACTTATACTTTTACTGTAGTACTGTTTGATTGGGATTAATTAAGCATTAGCGTTAGTTCTGGCAGGTCACGTGAGTCAAGCTTGCATCAGCTGATTCTCAGCTGATCACATCTACCTATAGGAATACGACACCTATCGCGGCATTCCTATATAAGCTCTATTCAGTATTATTCAGCAGCTTTTCAGCTTGCTCCGGAGCAAATTACCCTCCTCCATCCCCAGCTCCTCCTTTCGCCACAGTCAGGACTTGACTTTCTGATATTCCTTGCTAATCAGACTCCTTTGTCTTGAATAAAGTGTTACACTTAAATATAATTAAGTACATTAATGATATCTGCCTTGTTCTGTTCTGTTAACCCTGGGGGGGTTATTATTGCTGCTCTCCCTGCTCATTCATGACAGGCTGCATGGATGGGCAGGGAGTTTTTTGCCCAGAACAGAACCATACCGCCAAACTTTATGCTAAGTATCTATCATTTTGACGATAGTGGTCCTGACAGAATTAAAATGTTTTGTTTCAATTGTTCAAAAGGGCCTTTTTTCAGCTAATGACTAACTAGTTCAGTGATGAGTCCACCGCTTCTGATGCAATACTGAAATTTCCAGGCATGTAAAAAGAGGTTACGAAAGCACTGGTGTGTTTTTATTGTAAAAAAAAAAAAAAACCTAGAAGTCAATGCATTTCAGCATCTCGTGTTTTGAAACCGATACGCTTTAATTAACGTGCCTAAAACACCTGGAAAACAACTCCAAACAAAGCAGAATTCTGATCCCGCTTTAATAACCAGCGTCTAATCACAACTGGATCCTCAGATATTCATGATAGATGATATATTTGGCCAGACAGATTAATAGCCCAACGTTTGGCTGTTTTCAGATTCCTGCCATCAGCTGTAACGGCTCCAAAAACCTATGACGGCTCAAATAAAATAGAGTGAAACGACAAATGTTACTCTATTTTGAAATGTGATATTTACTCGCACTCATGTTGTTACAAATCCATGAGACTTTTGTCTATCTTCAGTATACAAATAAGTATATATAGAATATTTGTTTAACGCCGACTTTAATATTGACCATTTTGTCCATTCATTGAAAGCCCATGCATCCAAAACTAGCACAACATAAAAAGTACAAAGGTCATCATAAAAAAAAAAAAGTAATCCATATGAATCAAGCAGTTTAAGTCTTCTAAAGAGACACGATTGCTTTATATGCAGAACATATTTAAGTAAGTTAATAAAATATTAAATGAATTTCTCACATATATACAGTGTATATATATATATATACTGATCAGTGCACATACATAGAGCACATCAAATATGGTAAATGTAAGCTCAGCCATACTTGCTTAAAGCATAAGAACGTTGTGTTACACGCAAGAACAAACCTCATCTGACCATTTGTGATGTGCATATCTATGTGTGCTGTTGTGTTTATATGTGAATAAAAGACTAAATGAAAACTGCTCATCATATCTGCATAAAGTCTAAACGGCTTGATTCATATGGATTACTTTTGCAATGTCTTTATGAACTTTTTGAAGTGTCACTTTTGGTCACATGGACATTCAATCGCTCCGGTTTCATAAAAAATATCTTTATTTGTGTTTCAAAGATGAGCAAAAGTCTCACGGGGATGACTAAATGATGACAGAATTTTCATTTTTTTTGTCTTAACTATCCCTGTCAATTGTTAATTAGCCACCCAGCTCTATAAATATCATTCTCTGCTAATCGAGTGCTATACAATCTATGAGCTTGAATGCAAAATGTTGCTCTACGCTTGGTTCAAATGTTATACACCACCAAATGAGACATTTAAAAATGCTGGTAATTAAATTTCTCAGGCTGAGTGACACAAATATTTCTGAAACCTTGGCCTCTGTCTTTTCTTGATTGATGGTTGCAGTAACTAAAATCACAGTGTCTGAGATATGCAGTGCTCAGTCTTTAACCTCCTCTACCGTTTATTTACACCGTGAAAGCTTTGCACCATCCGTCTGCAGCGCTGCGTTTATCTGTTTATCAGGTCAGAAAAACCATGTCGAGCATGTGACTCGAGATCTGTAGAAAATCAGCATACTATAGTTTCAGATCACAAGGCCCAGGGGACTAAACAGAGAAGAAGTGTGTTCTGACAACAGAGGAACTGCAGAGTTAAGAGGAAGCGATTCTGTTTCACAATTCAGAATCGGCCGTCAGCATTGACATCACAGCAGAATTCAGCCGATGCTACAATTTAACTAAATAAGGTTACATAAAGGACTGTTTCGGAATGTTCATTTTATTATTATTATTATTATTATTATTATTAGTCAATTGTTTATTATTATTATTATTATTATTATTATATTAATAATTTTGCCCATGTATACATTTTTAGTCAATTTAATTTATTCAAACATATAAATTACAAATGTATTGAAAAAAAAAATATATATATATATACAGTGGGTACAGTGGGAAAGTATTCAGACCCCCTTAAA